CACACACACACACACACACACACACACACACACACACACACACACACACACACACACATTGTTGAGCCATCTGAGCCCAGTGTGTCCAATAACAGCAGGTGCTGTCAAGTGCAAGCACAGCAGACCTGCCCTGACACAGAAACCCACACATGGATGGATGCACATATGTCAGCACGCCGCACACTCATTCATACACCTTCCTTTTCCGTGTAGCTCTCACATTCAGTAATTCATTTTTAAAGCGACGGTCTGATCGGTGAAGTTTATGCACTGTTACGGTTGTAGTCATGACAGCGTGCCTGGTACTGTTGGGATGTTCCCATCTGTGCAGGACTTCCTCCAGTGCCCATCAGCCCTACTTTATGTTAAATATTGAGCGTAAACTTTGGGATTTTAAAAAAAGTGTATTAAATATGATTTTATTTATATAGAGATATAAAATAACAATGACCAGTGACCAGCCTTCTGCTACAGTTTTACAAATATAGAATCAGCTTGAAAGAGTCAAAAGAACTTTGATGCTTTAATGTTTAGTTGAAATTTGATTACTTGTATTTACCAATTAGGTTAGTCCTCACGCCTAGAGACAAGTTGGCGACCACCTGGCGACCAATGAGGTTGCTAGGAAAAAATGAGGATTTGGTCATTGTTATTGTAAGTTATTGCTTAAAGCTGCGTTTACACAGGCCTATCAGTCAGTAACCCCTGGCAACCACGGAAAAAACAACTGGTTGGCGAGCATTTATGGGAGGATGGTGGCAGATGCTAGGTTGATGTTGTACCAAAAAACTCCCCAACTACTTGCTAAATTTGAAAGAAACTGCAAAAAGTTTCTTCAAAGTAAAACTTGCACCTTTTGGAACACAATTGAATCACAACTTTTACTTTCAAGGCAAACATTTTTACGTTTCCCAGTAGTGTTGCTCTTTTTCAGCTTTTCAAAAGTACAAGTGACTGAGATGATCTGAGAATGACCAAAGTATATTTCAAAAGAGGCTTTTGGTGCAGCCAAAAATGTACCACAATGGGTTCATAGCCTCATGCTAGCGCTAGAACATTAACACCGAACAAACAAACAACCATGGTTACACAATCATTTGTATTTTTAATGCTTATATTAAATATTCTGTATCAGATACCTTTCAGCTGCTTTGTTATTCACATGGATTACCACAGACAGCAGGTCTACATGTTTCATTTGGCAGATTTCTTTTTACAGCACATGCCCTGTTTGATGCAACCCCAAAGAGATTGGTGTCACGTCTGGGGATCTTTCGCTTGCTAGGCAAATGCGTAAACCACTACACTACACCTTTAGTTGATGTACGAACATGTAATATTTTCATAATGGGTTTTTGTCCAAGAACACCCAGGCTTCGCTGCTGGTGTGATCCCAGCTCAACACGGTCTCTAGCTTTGTCTGTAGTGCTGCCGTATGGCTTACCTTTAGGGCACTCTGAACTCAGCCGTCCAGAAATTTGCCTGCATGTGTGTGAGAAGAGATCAGGTGTAAACAAAGTTCATTTTAAACTCAACGACACACCCATAATGATTCGGGACAGTATTTTGCAGGGTTGCAATGCTATCTTGACAAAATCTGTGCCTTTGTGTTACCTCCTGCTACAGTATTCATTTAAATGAGAGACACTCACAGACAGGCAGCCTCACAAGCTGAAAACAATACCAGCTACACAGTCATGGCTGGTAATGAAGCCCTTGATTTGATATGTAAGTCGATGATGTGTAATCTCTTCTAGCTGAGAGCGTAGAACAGTAAATATCAGTCTCATTTGCACTAAATGAAGCTAATAATGGCATCCTTAGCTTTCATGTTATATTTTTTTTCTTATTTCTTTTTAGTGCACACCTTTTCTTTGTCTCATGCTCTCTCTTTGTTCCCCCCTCACCATCTCCCTGTCCCTGTCTTTGTCTGTGTGTGTTAATATATTTAGCAGTGCCATATCATACGCTGTGCTAACTTCATTAACTATCTCAGCATGAGCCTACAGTGACTGAATGATAATAACCCTCACCCCCCAGACTCACTGGCTCTACCACACACACACACACACACACACACACACACACACACACACACACACACACACACACACACACACACACACAGCCCTGGGAGCTTAACAGTAATGCATGTATAACTGATTACAGTTTACTTCATTATGACAAAGCATTTTATATTTGTTATTATGATAAATGACCTCTCTAACCCTATCAGACCCATCAGTGAGTTCATCATTAAGAGTCCCAAATAAATCTGTGTAAAGAAGACAGAAAAATCAGCTGATTGAAGAAAGGGGGTGATTTAAAAAAAACAAAAAAAACCAGCCACCGTTAGTTCAAATATTACGTCAGAGTTAGGCTGCGATTCATCTGCAAAATTGTTTTCTGCATTTAACAAAGAACCACAGCAAATCCTTACATTTGAGGGAGTTAGCCATGATTAATGACTAATGATTAATTTTCTGTTGGTCGACCAGTTGTTTGAGGTTTCACAGCATGTCTGCAATAATTAGGAAAAACGGTGCCGATCTCTATGCCAAGCTGTCCTTTTGAAAGCTTTAAACGGGTTTCTCCCAGTGTGGCACAGACGTTCACTTTGGACTCAGAGGTGAACTGATTAGATTTTTGTGGTCAGAGGTCAAAAGACCAAGGTCCCAGTAATCTCATGTCCGTTGCTGTCTCGTGAAAGCGATATTTCAGGAGCAGCTGCAAGGGATTTAATTACATCTGGCACAAATGTTGACTTGGACTCAAGAATGAACGGATCTGAATGTGGCGGTCAAGGGGCAAGCTCACTGTGGGCTTATGAAACATGTTTTTGGAAGTTTTTCAAGGATTAATGACACAATTTTCTCTCAAATGTCCAGACGGGTGAAAACACTAAGTCGGATCATTTAGATCCAGAAGGGCATCATCTTCAATGTGACATCATAACATTGTGTAAAAACACTTATTCTGCAACACCATTACTTAGGAACAAAGGTCATGACCATATGGTCAGAAGAGGGATTGATGAGACTACAAACTGTGGTGATTAATAGGTCCTGCTGGGGTTCAAGATGCTTGTAAAGCATCTGTGTTTTAGAATTTGTGGCTTTCTGTGGGTGAAGGATCACTAGTGTCGTGTCTACAGTGCATTTCCCAAACATAAATACACTTAATACCTTTTTTTTATTGAAAAGCCATCGTGGTTGGTAGAGGTGTACCATACTGCAAAGCTGTAACTAGAGTTTTATGTCATTTCTGTCACTGTTGGTAGTTTTACCTTTAACAGTCAAATGTTTTACAGAAAACATGCCTCTGTTTTCTTGCGTCTAATCTCACTCCTTTGCTTCTTTTTTCTATCAGGTCAGTGTGCTGGAGCGCCAGGTGATAGATTTCCTGGGATACCAGTGGGCTCCCATCCTGACCAACTTCCTGCACATCATTGTTGTCATCCTGGGCCTTTTTGGCACCATTCAGTTCAGGCCGAGATACGTCACTGGGGTTAGTTTTGCACTCAAAACAAGCATTTTACGTATACTCTGCTCTCTCTCTTTTTAAAGCTTTATAACTTATTTAAGTAGTATGTTTGATGTTTTCACAACCTTTCATTAAAAAAAAAGTTCAGGACAGTGAAAACTTCATTCATACCTGGAGGATGCACTATGAAATCCACTTGAATGGATAACAGAGAAAATTTAAACAGTTTGCATTAATAATTAATAAAAACGCATCTGCTGGTGGATGCAAGATTGATGGAAGACCATGTATTGTATTTATTTTATATACCGATGAGCCACTACATTAAAAATTTACAGTTTGAGTGAATAACTCTGATTATCTCATCACAATGTAAAGTGTTGCTGGGAAATCTGGTTCCAGGCATTCATGTTCATGTTATTTTGACACGTGCATTTCGGTGCATTTCGCACATTTACTATAGAACTGCTGAAGAAAAAAAGAATCAAGGTGCTGCAGTGCCCTAGTACGAGTTAACCTGATTGAAATGCTGTGGCAGAAATTTAAGCGAGGAGTGCATAGACGAATGCTCGCAAACCTCAAGGCACTCGAGCAATGTTGTAAAGAAGAGTGGTCCAAAATTTCCCTCACAACAGTGTGAGAGACTGATGAAGTCATACATAAAACAATTACTTCAACTTATTGCTGCTAAAGGTGCTTCTACAAGCTAGAATTATGGAGTGTAATTAGTTTTTCACAGGACTGCACAGTGAACACTTTGTTTTCCATGTGACTGTACCGCCGTGTTGCAGACGTGTTTTTAAGGGATTTAAAATACAATTTGATTATTAAAGAGTTTGAATAATGGTTTTAAACAGACATTAAATACATAAAATCTATTTGTATGGACCAATTTTAACCTCATTTTTCTGGCTTTCAGACTACTCCTGGGTTTTCTCCCGTTTAATTGAATAGCAAATCAAAAACCTGGAACATTGCTAGCAAAACTTTTTTTTTAAAACAAAGAACCCAAGGACCTAAGGCATTATCAGAGCCTGCACACTCCCAAGATCCCAGTCTAATCAAGCTTCTGTGGGATGTGCAGACAGAAGCCAAATGTAAAGCAGCTCCACCCAGTCTTTATATATATATATATATATATATA